AGATAAAGCTAGGTCATGGGGAAACAGGAAGCTCAGTCAGCTATCAGCCCTGGGTTGCTTTAAGGTTGCTCACAAGTTCCTCCAAACCAGAACAGAAGGTTCAAGCATTTATCAGCCTTGGGTTGCTCCACATCATTCCCCCCCTCTTGAGCCTCCTCAACCATACTTGAGGAGGGTCAATTAACAGGAGGGTGGTAAGCATAGATTCCTGGGGTAGCTACAAGCGGTTGATATTTGATGGCTTCAAGGAGGGAGGTTGTAAGGGTCTTGTAGGGGTGTTATTCTCAAGCTTCTGCTGTGCATAGATTGGTCAGCATCTGGAGTGACCAAAGCAGGGTTGTAAATCCTTCAAGCTTCTGCCAAGCGTAGAGCAGCCAGCCCAAGAGTGGCTTCAGTTTCGATGTCAGGTCTTGGTCTTTTGGAAGGTCACCTTTGTCGGCTGCACAGGGTGGCTTTTCATCATCCAGGTCCTGGGATCCTCTGGTGCTGCAGCTTACTTCATTCATGAGTGGTGAATCCATGGGGTCAGCCCTGCAGCCTTAACTGTAGTAGGGGTAATAAGCACAACAACATATGGCCCCAACCAGATGGGCTGTAGTGATTTTATTTTCCAACTTTTTTAACCCACACGAGACCCCTGGGTTCATGTTTGTGTACCCAGTTTCTGAGGGAAATGAAGGTGTCTTTTAAGGTTATAAGTATTTCTTTCTTTAAAGTGTTTCCCAAAGCCATCAGATCCTCAGTCAGGACTGCCTTTCCCAGTTGACAAACATCAGTTATTCGGACCTGGGTGACTAAAGGGGGGTGGCCAGCCAAACAGAATCTCCTAAGGGGAATAACCTTTCTTTGGGATATGTGCATTGAACTCAGAGCAGGTCTAGTGGGAGGATACCCAGGGGCATCCAGTGTCCTGAAAGAGCTTAGCCAGGGTGGGCTTGAGGGTATGGTTCATTTATTCAACTCTCCCAGAACTTTGAGGCCGGTAAGCAGTGTGAAACTTCCATTTTATGCCCAAGGTCTTTGCCACTCCCTATGTAACTTCTGCCATGAAAGCAGGACCATTGTCTGACCCAGTCGTAAGGGGAAGCCCAAACCGAGGCATGATTTCCTTCAAAAGGGCTCGAGTGACTTCTCTGCTGTTTTCAGTTTCCATAGGGAAGGCTTTACCTAGCCTGAGTAAGTGCAAACCTGGACTAATAAGTACTTATAGCCCGGGCACGGTTGCACTTCTGAGCTGTCTGCCTGCAGTAAAGGGAAGTTGTCCCACTGGCTGTATTCCAGCTGGCCAAGTTGGCCCCCGGGCAGGGTTATTTCTGGCACAGGTCTTGCATCACAGGCTCACAGTTGCACACAATGACGGTAGGCGGCTTAGAATGTTCTCTAGGTTAGTCTTCCCCCAGTGAGTCAACTCGTGGTGCTGATTTACCACTGAATATCCCAGGGAATGAGGTATGTGTATTCTTTTATCTGGCAGTCTCCCCCATCCATCTTCTTCCAGGGTTGCTCCCTCTGACTTTGCCCAGCGATGTTCATTGGAAGTGTAAGGGGGGGTGGGGCTTTTGGGAAACTTGTGCATGGCAACATGTTAGTTACACTGGTCAGGGCTCGGTTGGAGGCAGCCTTGGCTACCTGGCCTACTAATCAGATTCCCAGGGTGACAGGATCCTTCCCCTCTGGTGTCCTCTGCAATGGATGATTGATATTTCTTTTGGTTCCCAGACTGCTTCTAATAGTTGGCAGATTTTTTTTCCCTTTGTTTTTAACTGTCTTCTCTTCTGCTGAGAGGAGTCTTCTCTCCTGATATAATGCTCCATGTAGGGTGGCAAAAGCATGTCATGAGTCCAAGTAGATGTTTACCCTCTTATCGGCTGCCCATTTTAGTGCTCAGATTAATGCCCAGTGTTCAGCCCACTGAGCTGATCATCCTTGGGCAATGCCCCAACCCTGAGCACTGCGTCTTGAGAGGTAATGACATAGCCAGCATATCAAATTCCATCCTTCATGTAGTTGCTACCATCAGTGAAAAGGGTGAGGTTGGGGGCCTTCCAGAAAAGATCTCATTGAAGGC